CATAAAAGAGTAAGGAAGAAAGAAGGGAGATGGAAATAGAGAGAAGCAGCCAAGCTCTGACTTCCGAAGGCAGACCTTGTGCACTCAGCTGACAGCAACTTGTCTGATGTGGTTTTGGTGTGGAAGATAAAGCCTGGGTTCCCCTTCTTTGAAAAAAAGAGGGCTTCATCCCAAACTTAGTGATGGTCACTGTAGTCTGCACAGTCTGCTTCTGCAGATAGGAAAGGGTTTAAGCTTTGTTTAAGAAAGGATGTACCAGTGGAGGACTACATGGAAATTCTAGCAGGAGATGCATATGGTGGATATGCTGCTTCTGCCAAGCTTGCTTTTCGGTTCTCTCTTGGCGAAGAATGATTTTGGAGAGAGGTTACTGCTCAAGTGGATCCTCTCATTGGACACTGTGTGCTGGAGGGACTGGCACATGCTAATAGCCTTCTCTAAGCTGGCAAGTGACTTTCCAGGCCTTCCAGTCATCGTGGCAGGTGTGTAACCTCAAACTACTCTCTCTAAATGAGATTGTCATTCCTGGGTGCTGTTCTGGGAGCTGAAAAGTCTCATGATTAGTTCACAGGGCCAAGCTGCCTGCTGAATGAAACTGTGGTGTTCAGGAGAGGCTTTGGCCAGCTTCACTCTATTCACAATACAGAGTTTCAAGATCAATCCTTGGTTGATCTTTGTGTTCTGTAATACAGAGGTTTGTTGTATTTTTCTTGCTTTTCTGTGTTGTCACCCCCAGTCTGCCTTCCCTGCTTTGAGACTTCATGTTGGACAAGAGGTAATGTTAGACGTGTGTAACTCACCCATCCCCTTTGTTCCTCTTAGCTCTTTTGGAGGCAGGCTTACCCAAGGAAAGTGTGTTGGCTGTGCCTGTAACGTGCATAGCATCTTTGCTCAGAGAGAAGACAGCCCTGTATTTCACAGCTTTGGCTCTAGCTGCATCTGAATTGTAACCAAATTCTCTTCCCAGCACAAACAGCTGCTCTAGTGAAGTCACAGGCTTGGAGCCAGCCCAGCAGACATGCTGCAGCTACCAAGGATGTGGGTGGGAGTGAGACAGTAGCTGTGTGAGCTAGTTCCATTTTTCAGAGCCAGGCTAATGGCATTGGGGAGACAGGCAAAGGGAAAAGAGATTCTGACCTACACAGTCCTTATGCTGTCTTCCACATGGCAGAGTGGGAGTTTTTTCCAGGAGAAGGCAGAGTAACGTGACCAGCATCTTGTGTGCTGTCATATTCTCTTCCCAAGGGGATGAGTGTGTGCAGTGCAGGGGTTTGCTCTGGAATTTGTGTCATCATGTGCATATATATATAAATACATCCATGCAGTGGTTGGAATGGGCTGGCATACGTGAAAATTGCATGCTGTTGGATTCTGCAGCTGTGTAGTTGAACAGGAGTTACACAGGAGTTTACACATCATCTTTTTGAGTGTGTCTGCTTACACAGGGTACAAACTGTGTGTGCATGGTTTCTGACATACACATGTGCACAGACACATGTTCAGGGACATGGTTTGCACTCTGAGCTTTGTGGTACTCCTGGAGAGGTCATGTTTCCCAGCCTGAGACCAGCCCCAAAGAGGTGGTGGTTACCCTTGTTCTGGAGAGTTCTGTCCATGCCAGAGGAGCAAAACAATATGAGGAATATAAAACAATGAGGTAGCAGTAGGCAGCATGGGAAGAAGGAAAGCATGCCCTAACTGAAGGAAGTACCTTGCCCCATTGCACAAGCTTTCTCTCCCTGCCATTCTTCCTCTGGCAAGATGATTTTTCCCTGTTTCACAGCAGCCAGGCTCTTCCCTGCCCCACTCCATGCTCTGCTTGCTCCGTCTGTGTGCTTGTCTTTCTATGTCAGTCACGCTGTTTGATTTGTAATGAGGAAACAGAATGTCTTTTCCTCTGCTGCATTTGCTCCCCCCCACTCCCAGTCCTCTGAACCCCTCAATGCGGGAGGATTGGATTTAGCCACGGAACAGCAAGCATCCAAGCAATCTCTTAGGGCTCTGCAGAAGCAGCTGGCATTTGAGAAATAAGGGGCAGTGGGGAGCAAGTGTCTTCAGGGATCACGGCAAGCAGCTATTAGGCTCATTTGCTCTCCTGGTTTGTGACGCAGGGATAGCCACTGCTCTGTTACATGACTGCACTCTCTCATCTTAGAAGCCAGGAAGACCTGTGTGTGCTTCTCCTCCATTCATTAACCAGCCTCTTGCTTTGGCACTGTACCTGTTTTGGATCTGGAGGCACGTTCAGATGCTCACTGTCCTGTTTATTACACCTGCAACATCTGGTCCTGATTGAAAAGCATTGCAGTGCTTTTCATGGAATTGCTGTCAGAACGCAGGAGCTGCCTTTCAAAGGCCCAGAGCTGGTTTTCTCCCTTGGCACAAGATGATTTTCTGAGCCAGTGTGTGGTTTTGCATGGTCCGTTTGAGAATAGAGCTGTCTGGGACTTCTGTGATGAAGTGGATGTGGAGCTGTTTTGACTTCATTTTTACAGGATCTCAGAGTTTGTCACAGCTGAAACTCTTTCTGTTGCAACAGAACTTTAGCAGAATTTACCTCAGGTAATATTTTTGGAGTTTCAAAACTTGGGATCAGAGGAATGTGAGCTGCAGAGGTGCCCCAGGACTTAGCCTGGATCTCACACATCAAGGCTTTCACTGCACAGCTGGTTTCCAGCATTCACATCTTGTCAGTTGGTTCCTGCTGCTGGTTTTGCAGGGAAAGTGGAGATCGCATCTCTGGATCTCAGTGGTACCAGCCTGAGGGGCTCTGTGTTGGTTGAACAGCTCTGCTCTTGCTGAGCTTGGCTTAGCTCTCTGCACTTGCTGTTGTCACAGGAGGGATTAGAAACCTTTCCTTCACAGACTTCAGTGTCAAGTAGTAAAAGCATATTTTGAGGGACTCTATGGGGTCTGAGGGAGAGTATGGGCTCATATGAAGTCTCTCCAGTATCGCTGTGTCATTGCATATTCCTTCATTCCATTGAAGTTTTCTTTTTTCCAAGGGGAAGTCCTTTCTCTGAACCTTGGCTTTCACACATGTTGGTGTTTCTCTCGAAAATGATGGTTTGCCTTTGGCCTGAGATTAGCTGTCACCATGCTCTCAAGATAGTGCTGCACCTGGCTAGCTGATACCCAGCAGCCTTTTGGAGGTAGAAGGTTTGTGGGCAATGAAACAGGGACAACATTTTTGGTGGTGTTCACACCAGGTGCAGAGGACTAAAATCACAGCAGCCTGGTCTCTCCACAGACCATGCCAGAGGAAAGCCAAAGTGTGTGCCCAGCGTTCAGCGTCTCAGGATTACAATTTATTAAGTCAACTTCTTTATTTCAGTGCTGGACAGCAACCACCAGCCTCAGGGACCTCATCACATTCTGGGGCTGTGAGAAACTTTTCAGCCCTAGGAGCAGAATGGACTCTCCATGCCTCTGCTACTGAGCAGAGCGGGAAGTCTCATGTGGAATTCCTCTGGAAGTGTTTATGTCTGTGTGAATCAGGCACAGCTCAGTTAGGCACAGATTATTTGCAAAATATTCTTCCTCTTCCCTTGTTTCCAGTCAGTATAAAGTCCACATCTTGCATGTGTTGATAGTATCATTTTAGCAGCTAGTGGGTCATGGGAAGAGCTAAGTCCCCTCTGGGTTCTTGCCTCTTAACCGTGTTTGCTATGCAATTAGTTATTGCTGCTACTGGTTTCTCCTTCACTTTTATTAAATGGTATTTTCTGTTTGCAGTCTGCTAAATGGTTTGTTGGCTTTAGTTTTGTTGATGTAATAACTCCTGCTTTCCTGCCAGCACCAACTTCACTGCCTGGGGTAATGGTTTTTGGCTGTTCAAACCTGAGTATCAGAAGATGTCCATTTAATTACAGAGTATGTCAGTATAAATTTCCTGCCAGTTCCTGTCCAGTTCAATCGTCTGTTCCCTGCTGCAAATCAGTTTTCCTGCTCTCTGTCCATTTTTCTCAGGGAAGAGGTGGGACCTAGCTTTGGCATTAGCATGTCTGGCTTTTCACCCTCTATAAATAAGTTTAGACCTATGTCTGTATATGCCAGAATAGGGGTTTTGTGGGAAACCTAAATGTTGTCTTGGAAAGAAGCCATCGGCAAGGAATTGAATTACTAAAGCTTTATGTCCTGTAGCATTGGCTCTCCAGGCTTAATTCCCTGGGGTCGTGTAATGGTGTGAAATCCCTGTGTGGATCCACAAATGTTTAAAAGAAATCAGAGTTCATTTTCCCTTTTTGTTTTTCCTCAGAGAATCCCTAGTAATAGGGATCATGGTGTTCCAGGATGGGTGGGATAAAAAGCAATCCCTGCCTACAAACAAGGCATGGAGCAGGGTGCAGTCAACACAAACTTGCGCTGGTTTAAAACATGCAGCTGAGGACTGGAAGACTTTGGCATCTCTTAAATTCATGCCCATGTGCACTGCAGTGTTGTCACCTGAGTGTTCCTGTCCTGTTACCCAGACCCATCTGAGCTGACTCTCACTGTTCTGAAATCCTGTCATGTGCACCATTATTTTGTTTTCAACACCTTCCTGCTCTGACAATGGAAGGAATTACTTCCAGTAACATGCTGTTTGCATTAACAGTAATTGCAGATCAGTTGGTTAGCG